AATTTTGAAAAAGATAACGCTAAAGGTTATTGTTGGATAGTCTTTTCAAAATGTTAACATCTAATTCTGATGTCAAACAGAGTCTATATCTCCATGACATAGGTTTGGTGATTTTTTTTTTGTTTAAGAATGAGGTTTGGTGTGTGCACTAAATATGAGGTTTGATATTTCTTGATATCAAATTGGGTGAAGCGTAAAAAGAATTCAGATTTGATACCTCGATATACTCCGTACATCACAAATTCTCCATATGGATGGTTTTATATCTTCCGTGGATCACCCCATCGACTACCACTTTTGATGCCAACCACCTTATCGATCACAAATTAGAACACGATTTTAAATCTCTCCAAACACTTTTATTTCAAATTTTGAAATTCATGCCATTTTTTTCAGATTTCAAAATTCATATAATATTGTATCTCCAAAGCTCACCAAATGGACTCTAAGTAAATTTTTTTAGTATAGAAAACTGCTCTAGAGTACCATCAATTTTCTAGTAAGACCTTTCAAATCTCAAATTATCTAACATATACTTTGGAATATCCTTGATTTTTCAATAAAAACTTTCAATATTTACGTTTTCTGAAATATACTTTGGGGACTGGGGTTCTTAACATTTGTAATACTCCCTCCGTCTCACAAAACTCTTCCCCTTTCTTTTTTCATCCGTCTCAAAAAATACTTCTCTTTTCCTATAAAAAAGCCACTTTTACCTCTATTAATTCTTAACCTACCTATCACATCAAATTTTTTCTCTATTAATCTACTCATTCCATTCTACTTTATCCATCACATCAAAAGACATTTTCAGAAAGTCAATATCAAAATACACTCCCCTTAAATCCTTTAAAAGTCAAAATGAGAAGTTTTTTAAAGGACAGAGGGAGTATTAAAGTAGGATTGAAAGTTGTTACTTTGACAAACTTAAGAATTTTGTTAAAATTTAATAAAATTATATATATATATATATATATATATATATATATATATATATATATATATATATATATATATATATATATATAAAGAAATGGCACACGTGATGCCGGAGTAATTTTAAGTTTTATTGCTAGTGTCCACTTCTTTGTAAGTTTTAGATCAACAATGTTCTATATCAACAAGATATGATTCCCATGAAGAAACTATCTAATAAAATATATTTAAAACTCAAGCTTCACGTGTGTGATTTTTTTAAATATATTTTATTGCATACTCCAGCATCACGTGTGTCATGTAGAAACAATCCAATAACAACAACAACCCAGGTGAATCCCACAATAGTAAGGTCTGGGGTAGAAACAATCAAATAAAATATATTTAAAATAATGGCACACGTGATCCAGAGTAATTTTTAGTTTTATTGCTAGTGTCCACTTCTTTGTGGGTTCTAGATCAACAATGTTCTATATCAACAAGATATGATTCCCATGAACAAAACTATCCAATAAAATATATTTAAAACAATGACACACATGATGCTAGAGTAATTTTAAGTTTTATTGGTAGTGTCTACTTCTTTGTAGGTTCTAGATCAACAATATTCTATATCAACAAGATATGATTACCATGTAGAAACTATCCAATAAAATATATTTAAAACAATGACACACGTGACGCTAGAGTAATTTTCAATTTTATTGCTAGTGTCCACTACTTTGTGGGTTCTTGATCATCAATGTTCTATATCTAAGAGAAATATGATTCCCATGAAAAAACTATCCAATAAAATATATTTAAAACAATGGCACACGTGACACTGGAGTAATTTTCAATTTTATTGCTATTGTCCACTTCTTTGTGGGTTCTAGATTAAGAATGTTCTATACGAACAATATATGATTCCCATGAAAAACTATCCAATAAAATATATTTAAAACAATGGCACACGTGACGCCGAAGTAATTTTCAATTTTATTGCTAGTGTCCACTTCTTTGTGGGTTCTCGATCAACAATGTTCAATATCTACAAGATATGATTCTCATGAAAAAACTATCAAATAAAATATATTTAAAATAATGACACACGTGACACCAGAGTAATTTTCAGTTTTATTGCTAGTGTCCACTTCTTTGTGGGTTCTAGATCAGCAATGTTCTATATCAACAAGATATGATTCCCGTGTAGAAACTATCCAATGAAATATATTTAAAATAATCCCATGTAGATCAACAATGTTCTATATCAACAAGATATGATTTTCATGTAGAAACTATCCAACAAGATATTGCTATTGTCAACTTCTTTGTGGGTTCTAGATCAACAATGTTCTATATCAACAAGATATGATTCACATGAAGAAAGTATTCAATAAAATATATTTAAAACAATGGCACACGTGACGCCAGAGTAATTTTCAATTTTATTGCTATTGTCCACTTCTTTGTGGGTTCTAGATCAACAATGTTCTATATCAACAAGATATGATTCCCATGTAGAAACTATCCAATAAAATATATTTAAAACAATGGCACACGTGACGCCAGAGTAATTTTCAATTTTATTGCTAATGTCCACTTCTTTGTGGATTCTAGATCAACAAGATATGATTCCCATGTAGAAACTATACAATAAAATATATTTAAAACAATGGCACACGTGACACTGGAGTAATTTTTAGTTTTACTGCTAGTGTCCACTTCTTTGTGGGTTCTAGATCAACAATGTTCTATATCAACAAGATATGATTCCCATGTAGAAACTATACAATAAAATATATTTAAAACAATGGCACACGTGACACTGGAGTAATTTTTAGTTTTACTGCTAGTGTCCACTTCTTTGTGGGTTCTAGATCAACAATGTTCTATATCAACAAGATATGATTTCCATGTAGAAACTATCCAATAAAATATATTTAAAACAATGGCACACGTGACGCCAGAGTAATTTTCAATTTTATTGCTAATGTCCACTTCTTTGTGGATTCTAGATCAACAATGTTCTATATCAAAATGAAATATGATTCCCATGAAAAAACTATCCAATAAAATATATTTAAAACAATGGCAAACGTGACGCTTGAGTAATTTTCAATTTTATTGATAGTGTTACATGGGCGGTCTAAGAACCGTCCGCAACGTAAAACATTAATGTGCATTTATTATGAAAACGGTAGTGTGTAATTGGTGAAATAATTGCTAGGGAGTTATCCCCAAAACGTGTGTGACATATATGCAGAGTAAAGCGGAAGTAAATAAATAAGTCCAAAATAAGTAAAACGACATATGATGGGTTCATGCCCAAATGATTAATTAATTCAAATGATTATAATTATTAAACTCGTCCGTGCGCCGCCCATCTTCCCATCATCACTGTCCTCCAGGGTTAGCACCCGTACCGTCATGTCTACCTACGTGTAGCAAAAACAACTACACGCTCAGCAAAAGTTGAGGAGTGAATCTAACAAAAGAACATAAAGTGATAACCCATATGGTTACACACATATTAATACCTGTAGTTAACGTACGGAAACCACATGTTTACTAACTGTTCAAACTGCACTTGGTGGGGTATTATTACGCATAACAAAATGATATATTATCACATTGAATGTTGATTTGATGAGTAACATACATGATGATGACTTGATGCATGACTTAATCTATCAGGGACACCCCTGACTTAGTCTCACCTGACAGGATCACCCCTGCACTCCGGGTATCATACCAACGATAATGAGCCGGGCTCGACGAAACGTTGCAAGTGGACTAGCAAAAACCGGGTGGTAGCCGTAACCTGACTACCATGTACGTACACAAATTCCACATGATGAAAACCCGTTGGATCCCAAAGGTTCTTGGACGGGCCCACTGTAGTAGGCGCACGAAAACCTGACCTCCCTACAGCGGTGTGCACATGATGATGAACCTAGGACATGCGTCTATAATGAACATGATGAATGCTTGATATATTTACCTTTGGTCAATGCCAAGAATATATCAATTAAATAACATAAACAATGAAGATTAACATTTCATGCAAACAAACGATTAGATTCTGGGTCAACATGGTCAACGGGGCTCATTCTATAACTGGCCGGAAATTTGCTCGTGGAACGGTCGACCGTACCCTACCGGGGGTCGACCGTGGGCTACGGTATGGGGGTCTGGAACACCGACGGTCCACCGTGGTCTTCCGTCGCGGCCAGCGATCGACCTTCACGGTGGTGACCGTCGGAATGGCCGAGGGAATGGTCCACCGTCCGTGCGGCGGTCGACCGTCCCGAAGACAGTCCGCTGTCCCTTGCTTCGTTTTGATCCATTTGGCAAACTTAACACCTAGATTCTTTTTAGAACATTAATACAACATTGAAGAATATATTCCTAGTGATTCCTAGGCCAAATTATATATGTTTTACGTAGTGAATGTTTTAATGGCTAACCTACGAACATGCACAGATTCTACGTAGGTTGCATACGATATTCCTATGGATACAACGACATAGATTATAACTGAATGTTCTAGAATTAGAGGGAACAACTACTCACCTCTAAATGAAGGTGTTGACGGAACGATAGGATGAGATGAACGAACGGTTAGCAACGAACCAATGAACTAGCGAGCGAACAACCTCCTGCGTGCCTTTCCTCCTCTTCTACCTCCCGTCTACTCGCTGGAATCCTCCCTGGGTTTGCTTGCTGCTTTGGCCGAACAAGGGGAAGGGGAAGAGAGAGTGGGTTGAGAGTGTAAGGAATGGGGGGTTACAAAATATGGTGGAGGAAGGGAATGGGTTGGGATTTTAAATTGGGAAATAATAATGAGGAAAATAATGGGGAACTTAAATGGGCATGAATGTGTGAGTGGGTGTGTAGTGGCGTGTGAAATGAGGGGAGTTAATTGGGGAGTTATTCCCCTTAATTTCCATTCCGTTATGTAAAATCTGACCTGAACGGTATGCGCTTTTTCCCCCGAACGGGTCCAAATTGACAGTCAAGACGAATTTAATGACATGTTCAAATAATTTTTCTAAGAATTTTTATTTTCCCCAACTCCGGTCCGAAACAGTAATTAATTATTTAAAAATAATCAATTTTATTAGACCGAGTTGCAAGGCGTTACAATTATCCATCCCTTAAGAAAATTTCATCCTCGAAATTTACCTGATCACTGGTCACTGAAAAGATGTGGATAACGAGTGCGCATGGATTCCTCGGTTTCCCATGTCGCCTCCTCGACGGTGTGACTTCTCCACAGAACCTTGACCAGCGGAATGGTTTTAATTCTCAACTGACGGATCTCACGCGCCAGAATCTCAACCGGCTCCTCCTCGTACGTAAGATTCTCATCGAGTGTGACCGTATCAGCTGGAATCACATGAGAAGGGTCTGACCGGTATCTTCGGAGCACGGACACGTGGAATACATTGTGAATCTTTCTCAACTCCGATGGTAACTCGAGCGTGTAAGCTACAGGTCCCACCCGTTCAGTGACTAGGTGCGGCCCTATAAACCTCGGACTAAGTTTTCCCTTCTTGCCGAAACGTAAGACGTTCTTCCAAGGTGACACCTTCAAGAAAACCTTATCCCCGACGGCATACTCGATGTCACGCCTCTTAAGGTCGCGTAGGACTTCTGTCGGTCCGAAGCCGCCTTAAGTCGGTCTTTAATCACCTGGACCTTCTCCTCGGTCTCACGTACTAGATCTGGTCCTTCCAACCTCCTCTTGCTCAGCTCTGTCGAGCAGGTAGGAGTACGACAGTGTCTACCGTACAAAGCCTCGTACGGTGCCATACCGATGCTAGCCTGGTGACTGTTGTTGTATGCAAATTCCATGAGTGGTAGATATTTCTCCCAACCGTCCCCGAAGTCGATCGCGCATGCGCGCATCATATCTTCGAGAATCTGAATCACCCTTTCAGACAAACACCGTTTGTCTGAGGGTGGAATGCAGTACTGAAGTGGAGATCGGAGCCTAATGCCCTCTGTAGGCCCTTCCAAAACTGGGATGTGAAACGATGGAACTCCATGTAGCCTGATGATCTCACGGATGTACAACTCCGCTAAACGCTGAAGTGGAAAGTCACGACGAATGGGGAGGAAATGAGCTGACTTGGTTAGTCGATCAACGATGACCCAAATGCTGTCGTGCTTACGTGGTGACAATGGCAGTCCCACGACAAAATCCATCGTAATACGATCCCACTTCCACTCGGGAATGGTGATCTGCTGAAGTAATCCTGACGGAACCTGATGCTCGGCCTTGACCTGCTGACAAGTCAAGCACCGCGATGTGAACTCTGTGATCTCCCGCTTCATCGCGGGCCACCAGTAATGTCTCCTAAGATCCTGAAACATCTTGTTACTGCCCGGACGCATGGTATATATATGGTGCTGTGTGCTTTGCGAAGCAGGCGTTCCCTCACCTCCCCCGCTGGCACTACCATACGCTCCCGATAGTACAAGATATCATCCCGAACTGTGAGATCTGGCTTCTCGCCTCGAGAGACGAGCTCCATGGTCTGGATACAGAAATCGTTGCTGCTCTGCACCGATGCTATCTGCTGACGTAATGTGGGCTGGACATGCAACACAGCTAGAGTCATACGACTAAGGGCATCGGCTACCACATTCACCTTACCTGGGTGGTAAGCGATGTGACAGTCATAGTCCTTAATCAACTCCAGCCATCTCCTCTGTCGGAGATTCAGATCCTTCTGCGTCAACAAGTACTGAAGGCTCTTATGGTCGGTGAAGATACGGGTTGTCTCACCGTAGAGATAATGCCTCCAGATTTTCAATGCAAGTACAATACCTGCTAGCTCAAGGTCGTGCGTCGGATAATTACACTCATACGGTTTCAACTGCCGCGATGCATAAGCAACGACCTTTCCCTCCTGCATAAGAACACATCCCAAACCGTTATGGGACGCGTCGCTGAAAACCGTATACTCCACTCCTGGAGTGGGCTGGACTAGCATTGGTGCCTGGTCAGACACTCCTTCAGCTGCTCGAAGCTCTGCTGACAGGCATCAGTCCAAACGAACTTGACGTCCTTCCTCATCAGCTTGTGCAATGGTGACGCTATCTTGGAGAAGTCTTTCACGAACCGGCAATAGTAGCCTGCCAATCCGAGAAAGCTCCTCACCTCTCGTGCATTACGCGGAGTCTTCCACTCCGTGATCGCCGCTATCTTACACGGGTCTACCTTCACACCTTCGGCCGAGATGACATGGCCGAGGAAGGTAACCTCGTGCAGCCAGAAATTGCACTTAGACAGCTTGGCATAAAGCTGTTGTTCCTGAAGAATGCTCAAGACAATGCGTAAGTGCTTGGCGTGCTCCTCCTGTGTCTTAGAGTACACCAAGATGTCATCGATGAAGACTACCACAAACTAGTCGAGATGCTTCCGGAACACACTGTTCATCAGATCCGAACACTGCTGGTGCGTTAGTCAACCCAAAGGGCATGACTGTGAATTCATAATGTCCGTACCGAGTGCGGAATGCTGTCTTAGGAATATCTTCCTTCTTAACGGGAATCTGATGATATCCTGATTGGAGATCGATCTTAGAGAAGACTGTGGCTCCTCTCAGCTGGTCAAAAAAATCATCAATGCGTGGTAGCAGATAGCGATTCTTGATGGTGACTTTGTTCAACTGACGGTAATCGATGCACAACCACATCGACCCGTCCTTCTTGCGGACGAACAGAACTGGTGCTCCCCAAGGGGACACACTGGGACGAATGAAGCCCTTATCCAGCAACTCCTGCAGTTGAGCCTTCAGCTCTTTCATTTCCGCAGGTGCCATGCGATAAGGTGTGATTGAGATTGGTCCTGTTCCTGGAACTAGATCTATGGAAAACTCTACCTCCCTCGGGGGTCGTAGGCCGGGTAAGTCATCTGGGAATACATCAGGAAATTCACATACCGTAGGGATGTCTCCCCTACTAGGTGCCTCCTGACGAGTGTCACGCACTGTGCACAAGAATGCTTCGCACTTCTTGCGAATGAGTCAGCGGGCATGAATGTATGAAATGAGTTCTGGAGCTTTTGGAAGAAGCTCACCACGAATCAGAATGTCGCTACCGTCTTCGGCTCTCAGCCAAACAGTATGCGCTCCACAGTCAACAACGGCTTGGTTGGCAGTGAGCCAATCCATGCCTAGGATAACGTCAAACTCACGATGTGGAAGCTCAATGGGACTTGCACGGAAGGTCTTTCCCTGGACCACTAATGGGCAGTCGTGATACACGTGGGTGAGTCGCAGAATGTGTCCCAATGGGTTGGACACGATTACCGGATTATCCAAGTCTTCCCTCGGAATGTTAGGCATAACGGGCATAGGCATACAAACATATGATAAAGTGGAACTCGGATCAATCAATGTTGTGATAGATGTATCGAATAAGGTAAACATACCCATGATGGCGTCATGGGCTGGCTGCTCAGTACGCCCTTGCATCGCGTATGTACGAGCTGGGGCCTTCCCCGCCCGGGTGCCAGACGCTTGCCGCTTGGGCTGACTGGATGCTGCCGCCGATTTCTGGCTTTGGGCGGGCTGCGCCGCTGGAGCTGTGGCAGCAGGTGCAGATGAAAACGCCTCACTTGGATTCTTCGGATAATCCCTGCGGAAATGTCCGGCCTGGCCACACCCAAGGCACAGGGCTTGAGTGAACCAGCATTCTCCTGGGTGCCTACGCCCACAATGGTCGCAGATCGGGTTACAGAACCCATCTCCGCTTTTGCCCTTCTTCTGGACAGACGCTGATGACTGTGCTGGTGCGGCCTTAGCCTTCTTGCTCTGGTGGGAGCTGCTAGGCGCTGCAAAGGACCTCTTCTACTGGTCCCCGCCTTCTGCGGTGGAAGAGGATGAGACGGTGCTGCTGACGCCCCCTGTGTCTCCTCATACTCAGCCTTCTTGATGAGGTTTGCATTCATGTCCAACGCATGCTTGAACAATGCGTTGATGTAAACCCGAGGGGCAGTGATCAGATGAGCCGATAAGTCGGGACGTAGACCCTCCACGAAGCGCTTGCACCGCTTCTCCATGGTCGGGACGAGGTCTTGCCAAAACCCCGCGAGCTCGTCAAACTTCTGGCGATACTCAAGTAGTGTGAGTTCGCCCTGAGTGAACTTCAAGAACTCCTCTCGCTTCGCCTCGACGAAGTGCTCTAGGATGTACTCTTCATGGAAGAGTCGATCAAATGTGGCCCACTGCACGGGCTCCGGGACGTCTGCTCCCACGCGCTTCCACCAGTCGTAGGCGGAATCCTGGAGTAAGGCAACAGCGAGGTCGCCGCGCTGATCCTGTGGAACCCTCAGGTTCCCCAAAACTTGGATGGTTTGCTCAAACCACCGTTTAGCGATCATGGGGTCGGCGATCTGGTCGCCCAAGAATTCCTCAGCTCCATTCTTCCGGAGCTTCTCAATGGTGACCACCGCCACTAGTGGTGGCGGTGGTGGCGGCAGTGGAACGTATGCTCCAGCCATCTGCTAGAGGAAGTTCATGAAGTTAGCCGCGAACTGCGGCTGAATGATAGGGACGGCTTTTGGAACAGGGCCCGCGCCAGGGGCTGCCTGGTCGGAGGCCTGTTGAGGTGTGAAGCTTGACGCTTCCGTGTGCACAATCACGTGCTCATGCTCCCCCTCTAGGACAGCCTGTCCATCGTTGTCTGCTGCTTGACTCATTCTCTATAGGAATAGCTTAAATCAAAACTAATTACAATATGACATACATGTGAATAAAATAAAGCTGTACCTTTCCCCGGGAGTGATGTGATGGGAGATGCGGCTGTGGACTTTTTGAAAACCTTTTGACCAAGATGACAAAAAATGTTTTTTTATTATTTTTTCACAAAAACCGAACCTCTCTGATACCAAATTGTAACACCCGCCTTCCGTGGACCCTGTTCACCCGTGACCCAACGGACCGGTAGGGTTACATGGGCGGTCCAAGAACCGTCCGCAACGTAAAACATTAATGTGCATTTATTATGAAAACGGTAGTGTTTAATTGGTGAAATAATTGCAAGGGAGTTATCCCCAAAACGTGTGTGACATAAATGCAGAGTAAAGCGGAAGTAAATAAATAAGTTCAAAATAAGTAAAACGACATATGATGGGTCCATGCCCAAATGATTAATTAATTCAAATGATTATAATTATTAAACTCGTCCGTGCGCCGCCCATCTTCCCATCATCACTGTCCTCCAGGGTTAGCTCCCGTACCGTCATGTCTACCTGCGTATAGCAAAAACAACTACACGTTCAGCAAAAGCTGAGGAGTGAATCTAACAAAAGAACATACCGGCGGTGTGCACATGTACCGGGTGGTAGCCGTAACCTGACTACCATGTACGTACACAAAGCCCACCTGATGAAAACCCGTTGGATCCCAAAGGTTCCTGGACGGGCCCACTGTAGTAGGCGCACGAAAACCTGACCTCCCTACAGCGGTGTGCACATGATGATGAACCTAGGACATGCGTTTAGAATGAATATGATGAATGCTTGATATATTTACCTTTGGTCAACGCCAAGAATATATAAATTAAATAACATAAACAATGAAGATTAACATTTCATGAAAACAAACGATCAGATTCTGGGTCAACATGGTAAACGAGGCTCGTTCTACAACTGCCCGGAAATCTGCCCGCGGAACGGTCGACCGTACCCTACCGGCGGTCGACCGTGGGCTACGGTATGGGGGTCTGGAACACCGACGGTCCACCGTGGTCTTCCGTCGCGGCCGGCAGTCGACCGTCACGGTGGTGACCGTCGGAATGGCCGAGGGAACGGTCCACCGTCCGTAGCGGCGGTCGAGCGTCCCGAAGACAGTCCGCTGTCCCTTGCTCCATTTTAATCCATTTGGCAAACTTAACACCTAGATTTTTTTTAGAACATTAATACAACATTGAAGAATATATTCCTAGTGATTCCTAGGCCAAATTATATAAGTTTTACGTAGTGAATGTTTTAATGGCAAACCTACGAACATGCATAGATTCTACGTAGATTGCGTACGATATTCCTATGGATACAACAACATAGATTATAACTGAATGTTCTAGAATTAGAGGGAACGACTACTCACCTCTAAATGAAGGAGTTGACGGAATGATAGGACGAGATGAACGAACGGTTAGCAACGAACCAATGAACGAGCGAGCGAACAACCTCCTACGTGCCTTTCCTCCTCTTCTACATCTCGTCTACTCGCCGGAATCCTCCCTGGGTTTGCATGCTGCTTTGGCCGAACAAGGGGAAGGGGAAGAGAGAGTGGGTTGAGAGTGTAAGGAATGGGGGGTTACAAAATATGGTGGAGGAAGGGAATGGGTTGGGATTTTAAATTGGGAAATAATAATGAAGAAAATAATGGGGAACTTAAATGGGCATGAATGTGTGAGTGGGTGTGTAGTGGCGTGAGAAATGAGGGGAGTTAATTGGGGAGTTATTCCCCTTAATTTCCATTCCGTTATGTAAAATCTAACCTGAATGGTACGCGCTTTTTCCCCCGAACGGGTCCAAATTGAGATCCGTTTGCGTTTCTCGAACTAGACAGTCAAGATGAATTTAATGACAAGTTCAAATAATTTTTCTAAAAACTTTTATTTTCCCCAAATCCGGTCCGGAACAGTAATTAATTATTTAAAAATAATCAATTCTATTAGACCAGGTTGCAGGGCGTTACACTAGATCAACAATGTTCAATATCAACAAGATATGATTCTCATGAAAAAACTATCCAATAGAATATATTTAAAACAATGACACACGTGACACCAGAGTAATTTTCAGTTTTACTGCTAGTCTCCACTTCTTTGTGGGTTCTAGATCAACAATATTCTATATCAACAAAATATGATTCCCATGTAGAAACTATCCAATAGAATATAATTAAAACAATGACACACGTGATGCTGGAGTTATTTTCTATTTTATTGCTAGTGTCCACTTCTTTGTGGTTTCTAGATCAACAATGTTATATATCAACAAGATATGATTCCTATGAAGAAAGTATGCAATAAAATATACTTAAAACAATCACGCACGTGAAGCTTGAATAATTTTCAGTTTTATTGCTAGTGTCCACTTCTTTCTGGGTTCTAGATCAACAATGTTCTATATCAACAAGATATGATTCCCATGTAGAAATGAGCCAATAAAACATATTTAAAACCATGGAACACGTGAAGCCGGAGTGATTTTCAGTTTTAATGCTAGTGTCCACTGCTTTGTGGGTTCTAGATCAACAATGTTCTATATCAACAAGATATACTTCTCATGTAGAAACTATCCAATAAAATATGTTTCAAACAATGGCACACATGACGCTAGAGTAATTTTCAATATTATTGCTAGTGTCCACTTCTTTGTGGGTTCTAGATCAACAATGTTCTATATCAACAAGATATGATTTCCATGTAGAAATTATCCAATAAAATATATTTAAAACAATGGTACAGAGTAATTTAAAACAATGGCACACGTGACGCAGAGTAATTTTCAGTTTTATTGCTAGTGTCTACTTCTTTGTGGGTTCTAAATCAATAATGTTCTATATCAACAAGATATGATTCCCATGTAGAAACTATCCAATAGAATATATTTAAAACAATGGCACACGTGATGCCAGAGTAATTTTTAGTTTTATTGCTTGTGTCTACTTCTTTCTGATTTCTAGATCAACAATGTTCTATATCAACAAGATATGATTCCCATGTAGAAACTATCCAATGGAATATCTTTAAAACAATGGCACACGTGATGCGGGAGTAATTTTTAGTTTTATTGCTAGTGTCTACTTCTTTATTGGTTCTAGATCAACAATGTTTTATATCAACAAGATATGATTCACATGAAGAAAATATCCAATAAAACATATTTAAAACAATGACACACGTGAAGCTTGAGTAATTTTCAGTTTTATTGCTAGTGTCCACTTCGTTGTGGGTTTTAGATCAACAATGTTCTATATCAAAAAGATATGATTCCCATGTAGAAACTATCCAATAAAATATATTTAAAACAATGGTACACGTGACGCCAGAGTAATTTTCAGTTTTGTTGCTAGTGTCCACTTCTTTGTGGGTTCTAGATAAACAATGTTCAGTATCAAGAAGATATGATTCCCATGAAGAAAGTATCCAATAAAATATATTTAAAACAATGAAACACGTGACGTCACAGTTAATTTTCAGTTTTATTGCTAGTGTCCACTTCTTTGTGGCTTCTAGATCAACAATGTTCTATGTCAACAAGATATGATTCCCATGTAGAAACTATCCAATAAAATATATTTAAAATAATGGCACATGTGACGCCGGAGTAGTGCCCCCTTCTTTGTGGGTTCTAGATCTACAATGTTCTATATCCACAAGATATGATTTTCATGTAGAAACTATCCAATAAAACATATTTAAAAGAAAGACACACATGATGCCGGAGTAATTTTCAGTATTATTGCTAGTATCTACTTCTTTGTGGGTTCTAGATTAACTATGTTCTATATTAACAAGATATGATTCCCATTAAGAAACTATCCAATAAAATATATTTAAAACAATGGCAGGCATGACGACGGAGTAATTTTCAAATTTATTGCTAGTGTCCTTTTCTTTGTGGGTTCTAGATCAATAATGTTTAATATCAACAAGATATGATACCCATGAAGAAAGTATCCAAAAAAATATATTTAAAACAATGACACATGTGAAGCTTGAGTAATTTTTAGTTTTATTGCTAGTGTTCACTTTTTTGTGGGTTCTAGATCAACAATGTTCAATATCATATTTAAAACAATGGCACACGTGAAGCCAGAGTGATTTTCAGTTTTATTGCTAGTGTCCACTTCTTGGTGGGTTCTAGATCAACAATGTTCTATATCAACAAGATATGATTCCCATGAAAAAACTATCCAATAAAATATATTTAAAACAATGGCACACGTGACCCCGGAGTAATTTTAAATTTTATTGCTAGTGTCCACTTCTTTGTGGATTCTAGATCAACAATGTTCTATATCAACAAGATATGATTCCCATGAAGAAACTATCCAATAAAATATATTTAAATTAATGGCACGCGTGACGACGGTTTAATTTTCAGTGTTATTGCTAGTGTCTACTTCTTTGTGAGTTCTAGATGAACAATGTTCAATATCAACAAGATATGATTCCCACGTAGAAACTATCCAATAAAATATATTTAAAACAATGGCACACGTGACGCTGGAGTAGTTTTCAGTTTTATTGCTAGTATCCACTTCTTTGTGGGTTTTAGATCAACAATGTTCTATATCAACAAGATATGATTCGCATGAAGAAACTATCCAATAAAATATATTTAAAACAATGGCACATGTGATGCTGAGTAATTTTAAGTTTTATTGCTAATGTGTACTTCTTTGTGGGTTCTAGATAAACAATGTTCTATATCAACAAGATATGATTCCCATGTAAAAACTATCAATAAAATATATTTAAAACAATGCAACACATGACGCCGGAGTAATTTTCAATATTATTGATAGTGTCCACTTCTTTGCAGGTTCTAGATCAACAATGTTTTATATCTGCAAGATATGATTCCCATGAAAATACTATCCAATAAAATATATTTAAAACAAAGACACACGTGACACCGGAGTAATTTTCAATTTTA